TCTGTATCTGAAAATTCTTCATTATGCTTGCTTAGATATGACAGAAGGCCACAGTTTTCATCAGTCTCCTAAATATTTTATTTTTAACAGAATTCTGTTGAAAGCATCTTTCATAGAATAATAAAGTTGAAAGTCCAATATCATTTCTTCATGTTGGATTAAAATTTATCATAAAATAAAAACATCATGTACTTGGAATAGCACCCTATTTTTTAGGCTGAATGAGGTAAGGTTGTTGGCAGGAAAATAAAAATAAGGTGAGATATGAACCTTATTTTCTTAGGCAGAGCTCTAAACTTACCTAGCTTCATAGCTTTTTTTGGTCTTGGATAAGCCTGTGGCTTTAAAATCATGTTTTAATGAAGTTTCAAAAAGATCAAACAAATTAACAGTTTTTTGGTCCCTCTGTGCATTAGCCTACACTCTTCCAGCAAAAGATAACTAATTAACACCCGTGAAAACTGTGGGGCAATGACAATTTTGAATTCCTTTTGACTTCATTTTATAGGAGCCTTTAGCACAGAACAAGTGAGAATATTGAGCATGCCCTCCTACTTTAGCCTGGGCACACTTGATTCATTGGCATCTGTCACTGGCAACCTTTGTTGAAATAGTCCTTCAAGGGCACTGGACATATCAGAACAGAGTTTAGATGCTCTGTTAAAGTGGTACATTTTATACCTCTGCTTCAGAACTTGTAATTCATTATCTCATGATTTGAAAACTGCCGTTCATGATGTCCTAAAATCTTATTGTTTTAATTTCCCAGTCTTTTCTGAATCCAGACTGTTCTTTGAATTTGGGAATTATAAAAGCTTCTGTGTCAGTTAGGTTACAAGGTCAGCTGCTGAACCTTTGTTTTCATCTCACGTAATGATCTGGTGATCCAGGGAAGGGTGGCTCTGCTTCATGAGGTCATCCAGAAGCCTAAGCTTTTTCTGTCTGGCTCAGCCATCCCCTAGCAGCAGTTCTCAAACTGGTCCATGGATCCCTAAGATCGAAATTATTTTTAGAATAATGCTAAGACACTATTTACCTTTTTCCTATGCTATTATGATGGATAAAACTGCTGATGCCTTAGCATGAATCAAGGCAGTAGGAGCAAACTGTTAGTAGTCATGTTTTTTTTTTACCACCGTGTACTCAGAGTAAAAATGAACTCCAGTTTCACTTAAAAATGTCTTTGATGAAATAGTAAAAATTTATTTTCATTAACTATTAACCCTTGAGACAAGTTGTTTAAATATTTTGTGATGAGATGGGAGGTACACACAAGGCACTTCTGCTGCATACTGAATTATGTTGGCTACTTTGAGGAAAAGTGCTTGTGTAATTTCTGAATTGCAAACTGAACTATCTGCTTTTTTCCATAGGACATCATGTTTACTTGACAGAACAATTCACAGATAACTATGCCTATTCAAATTTGGGTATTTGCCATAAAAATTTATGTTAACATATAATGGGATTATTGTTATTTTTAAATGAATTAATACATATTTTTAAAATGTCTCAGTTTTAATTTCTAATGTGGTTAATATCAATAGACATGACCTATATAAATGATAGCTCGTTAGGGCCTTTAGTTTCTAAGAGTGTAAAGGGATCATAAGACCAAAAAAGTTTGAAAAGTACTGCCCTAAGTTTCCTTTTCATGGTCTGA